TGTGAAATATAAATGCGTTAGAAAATGTACGTGAAGTATTCGCGCCTCGCGTTGTTACGTTTAGTTGTTATTTTTCAAAAGCCTTTTGTCGCGCGACAGAAATATCACCGACGATTATCTCGCAATCAATGATTCGTCAGATGATACCGTTTTTGTTTAAATACGTTATTCGAATTCAGCAGGAAGCCAACTATTTGCCGAGGTCCAATATTGGGTTACTGTTAGCGAATTCTGTGAACCAATCTCTTCTGGCAATCGCGCTACATATCTCCCTGTGGGCGCTTCGATTCGTCGGCGGCAGCAAAGTTGTAAGCTGCATATTTTATCTGTGATAAAGTGCACCGCCGATACTACTCTTGCTCAGCTCTCGTGCAGCTTAGCTCGGTTAAGAACTTTCTCTCGCTGAATCCATGTGTATCTCACGGAAACGGCGATTCGATAAAAATATACCTTTTGTGCGTTACCAATGTATCGCGCTTTATCTCTTCTCCTTCGAGAGAAAGAGAGAGTAAAAGGGAAAGAAACGTTGGCTAAATGAAAACCAAATTTATAGCACCAGTTATACCGCTTTATAGTCGTTTAATAATCGTAAAGAGAAAGAAGAAGCAAGAGAGAGAGAACGTTGACATTAAATTGAGAATCAATTTACTTCGAATCGTATAATATCAAAAGTACCAAGGTGCTAAAGTTAATTCACTTAACTGGCAGGGAATATTTTTGACGTTTCGTATTATGACGAGACAGTAAAACGCTACAGAAACTTGAGAATCGTTGGCGTACTTGTGAATTAACCAGGCGAATTTCGAAATAAATCCGCTAAACTTTTCTCCTCCGTTGGTGAGTCCATTTCCCAGCTGATTTACCAAGACCCGATAGCCCTGCAGGCGGCACTCGTTACAACGTCGTTTTCGAGTTCCGGAACGAATTCCCAACTTCGCTACGTGGCTTGTCGTGTTTCGACGTGAGGCAATGCCCCCCATTCCTCCCTTCACCCTCTTCCCACCCTGACCGTTTCGATTTACGCATCGAAATTAAGCCACGCTCGGCTTGCAGCGCTCGTCCGATGCACCGCACTTTTAAAACCCGAACCCGTGCTACTCAACGTCAGTTGCACCGGCAGAAACGACGTTCCGCGAAACGAGAGCGCATTGGTCAGGGGGTGAGTCCAAGAGAATCTCGAGTGGCGGAGGTTGTTACGGGCTAGGATAGACGAGATAGAGTCGGATTGATACCTGATACAAGTCTACCTCGCTCGGAGGATTTTTTGCCAGCGTTGCTCGAAAAGAGGAAGGACGTTTGTGCCGCAAAAAGCACACGAACGCGACGGAACGTCTGATTGCTGTCATTTGGCAAGAGGGGAGAGAGAGAGAGAGAGAGAGAGACTCTCGCTAGCATTCTCTGCTTATAGTCGGATAAACGAAAAAAACCATAGCTAAAATGGAACGTATCGCAGAGAAATATTTTAGCAAAAACATTCCGAAAGCTCTCGCTAGCGAGAGCTACATTTTGCAAATTGTTTTTTATTAGTGCAAAAACGTGGATAATAATTTTACAAAATGTCGAGGTATGTCGGCGGTAATGCTTTGCATTAGCAAATGTGAGAGGATTTAAGGAAAGCCGCTGTGTTATCTAAAATTGACCGGGGTCATTCCGCCTGGTTCAACTTCAACGTTGTAGAAACAACGTTAGATGAAACGAAGTGCATAGTCACGTTGAGGAGTGGTGAGTTTCTAGGACTCCGAACCGACGAAGGTTGTTACCGGTAAACGGAATGGGCGAGGCGGATTGAGGTTGATACGCGATATATACCGGGGTTTGCTTTAATATATAGAATTTCCCGCAACCCGTAGAACGGTATCATAACCAGACACAGACCATGCAGAACAATGTGAATAAACTGCGCGGTTATAGTAGGAACGTATCGCAGACGTATATCAATTCCGAATGGTGTTCAGCAACACTATAATAAATGAAGACCTATTTGCATATGGTTATTGTTACATAAGATAACGCTGTATGTAGAGTCGCGCGCGAATGTCAGCGGCACATTCTCCACGCCTTTCATCAGCAGATTATAATAATTCTGTAACATTCTGTTTGAATCGCGAGAGGACCGCGTCTATTGTTAAAAAACACTATTATTACTCGTGTAATCCACGTCAAATAATTGTCCGCTCGAAACAAAGCGGACAAAAAAAATTGTTTTATATCCTGGAATATATACATATAAATATACATATATCTATATCTATATATATACATATAAACCAGGAGTCGACGATGTCACAGTAATAGAAACGACGCACCGTACCTCGATTGATGCGAGGATGACAGACGTCGAGCCGTCCCGGCTTATCGTCGTGTGTGAGTATGAGTTGCGTGTATATGTGCACAATGCGCGAGATGGATGGTAGACGCGTCGGAAAATGAATGTGTTAAATAACGAAAAAACCTCGAGTCAACCTCGTCGTTATATTTAATAATAAGTAATCAGTAATATAATCACGATCGCGCGCACACATTTTATTAAAATATCCATCCATTATCGCTATGATGTAACTTTTTTTTTTTAGGAAAATCTCTCGCAATGTTGTCGAGAAACTTTGGAAAATTCATTAACCGTTTGTTTTTCCGCGCGGAAAAGCTGTCGTAACATAAACGCAAAGACAAAAAGTAGATAAATTCGCGTAGGTATTGAAATAATGCTTTTATATACACTAGTTAAGTGCAACGAGTAAGATTTGGGTTCAGATTGATGTGGTGGTAAACGGTAGCTGCCGCATGAGCGATTGTGCTGAGTTTTGTTTTGTTTTGTAGTTTAGCGTCTGTGGGGTTACAAAACAGTAGAGCAGTAGATGGAATGGAGGAGTAAAAGCGGATTGCAACCGCGGTAACGCCCAATTTGTTGTAAAGTTTTCACTGAATACATCGACTTGAGAAATCGGATGATATAAATCACTGGATTGTGTGTGAGTCTCACAATCAGTTGGAAAAACTTGAAATTAATTAATCAATAAATGTAAATAATATTTTTCAATTATCCTCCAGCGAGTGTCATCATCTCTTATGTCATACTTTTATAATTGCATATAAAATTCAATATACTTTTCATTAATAATAATAATAATAATAATAATAATAATAATAATGTATCATCGTGAATATGATATAATATTTCTTTCCATTCAGATATGTATATATTATATTTAATCCAAAAATCATTTCATCTGATATATGCGTATTTCATTATAAATGTAATATTTTATTTTAAGTAGAAACATGATTTATGAACCCTTTTTTTTTTTACTAATTAGTAGACATTAGCAGAATTGTATTTTGAATATTATATATTAAATAGAACGCAGAAATATCCTTCTATGTGCGACATGTCGATTATGAGTAGTTGCATCGATACATGGAAAATTCGCAAGAGCGCCAAATAGATGCGCACGATGAAATGAACGAGCGAATGAACGAATGAACAAATGTTCGATTGCGCAGACGATAGGAAAGAGAAGCGGGTATGGAAGCTCTAGGTAGCTTTGACCCGCCAATTCAGCATCACCCATACGGGCACTCAACCGCAAATCGAGTTCCGGCCGTAGGGCGGAATAAAATCGACCCCGTCAACTTCCCGTCCTGCTCCACCCCTAACCGATGCAGCCTTCGGGCCCCGATTCGCGTGTAGGCGAATCTAGTAAGACATTACTCGCGAGGGACGCGTTTGCTCGATGCCCTGGGAGAAGGCGAGAGAGAAAGAGAGAGAAAGAGAAACTAAGGAGAGAGAGATCGGGGTCGACTTTAATGGGTGTAGCCAAATGGAAAAGCCTGGCCGCGGGATAACCAGGCCACGCTCGGATTATGATATCCGCAACGAGCGCGATGGGAGTTGCACGCGCGTGTCGCCTCGTTGACGTTCCTTTTCCGAATCACGATCGTAAAGTCATCGTTTCACACAAGAGCCGAAGGGCAAAATAACGCGGAATTTGCAAAGCTCGTATACTTCGGGGACGGATTCTGAAATTTTGGGTAATAGATATATAGAGTAAAATATACGAATAGCCGTATGCAAGTATTCTCGAGTCGTATTCAGGGTAAATCCTAAACTCCGCGAACAACCCGATATTATTCCTTCGGGTCGGTCTCTTGAATGGTCGCGTACGAAGGTCCAAGCGTGCATTCGGTAGGTAGGGTGCGTCGCGCGAGTTCGCTTCCGCCGGAGATGACGCGGAGATGCGTCCGTTATCATCCCCTACTTTATTACGTGTGCGGCCTGCATGCGCGTGTCGCGTGTGCACGTGTCGTACGTGATGCCGTTCGCAGTTTCCACCCTCTCGCAGAGAAACTAATCCACGCCGGCTGATTTATGAACTAGCAGATATACTTGTCCACCCTTACCGCTCGCGAGACGTAACTTACGAGCGTTATTGTTGCGTATTAAACGCTATACGGCGAGTGGGAGTTTACTTGCGAGTTGCATCGGTAAACGTCGGGTTCGGAACGAAGGTCGGATTCATTACTTCCCGTGTGGGTACGCTTCCTCGAGACCTTGATACTCGCCTAATTTCTGGTAGCCGAATGCGAGCATTCTTATTAAATATCGTCTGATCCATATACGTTCAAAGATGTAGGTCCATTAGCAGGATTAAAGACAAATATAGCGGTGATCCAATTCCACGGTTTTCCTTGATTTAATGTACTTTTCCATCTAACATTCTGTTGAATCGTTGATACTATTTTCGAAATGAATAACTTTTCGCAGAAAGTTATTTGAGAAAACTGAATAACCGCAATTGTCCCACTCTCTTTTCCTCTCTCCCGCTACCAATTTTCCACTATTGTATATTGCGTGTATAAAAATGGAAACAATTGAAATGCAATATGAAAAACGCACATGTACATATATTTTTCTTCTCAATTTATCTCTGAAAACACTTTTGCATTTCCCACCAGTGTTTATCAATGCAATATTTTAATGGTCCGCACTTTTCTGCCGACAGTGCCGCCCGACATCCTGGACTATGATACCAGCACGGACATGGTGGTGATGGAGGGGCGAAACGTGACCCTGCGTTGCGCCGCGACCGGCTCCCCAACGCCTAACATCACCTGGCGACGCGAGGACGGTCAGCACATTCAGCTCGGAAACGGGGAGGAAGGTTGGTTTTAATGAGAGTTGCCCGCGAACGAGCGTAATTCGCAGCCAGGCCGGTGATAAAGTCGGCAAAATTTCGTTGAATTAAGGTGGCTCTTTCCCTATCTCCTTTTCTCTCCGTCTCTCTCGTTCTCCTCGTTCTCGGATGCTTCGCCGCGATGAGGACTAATCGAATATACGAGCGAGAGTCACGCGGTAGTTGATCTCTCGGACGGAGAGTGCAACCGACAATCATTTGCGAACGCGGTCTTTTTCGAGGTTGCGCCGAAAACTGCTTTTTTGAGATGTACCAAAAGTACCGAATAATTTGCTACATTTTTCTTCTTATTTTTTATCTAACCAGATATTTCCGTTGTAAAGCGTATCATAATTTTCTTTTCTTTTCTTTTCTTTATTTGTACGAAACTGTGAACGTGTAACATGCAAGCATACAAAAGCGAAAGAAGGACTTCATTTATAGCAGAAGTTTGTAACTTTTGCAGTCGACTTGTAAAAAGGATACGCGAAACTTTTTGAAAATGTAATTTAATTTGCCTGATAAACGCGTTTGAAAAGTGCGAGGGGATATATATATACATAAGTTTCAAGTATTTATAAATTTCGCATGGCGTGTAAATTAATTTTCATCTCGGGCGGAGAGATAAACGCGGAAGCTCGAAAAGGGATACAATATTCGGAGAGGGAGAGCGCAAACTCGAGTAGACCCCGAATCGAGTAAATATCCCGAGTTTAACCCCTAAACGCGTCGGCAACGCGCCAAAAGCTCGTTCCGTCGCACGCGCAGCCGTAAAGGTATTCGCCTGAAAAAAAAAAGATTTACGTTCGCGGGAGGGCAGAGGATATATATTCGCGCGGGTTCAACTGCATCGCGCGAGTGCATCGCAGTTCCGAGAGCCGGCGGTATCAAGCCCAGACTAGGTGGCTTGGCGGCGGCCACTTGGGAGCGCAAACACACCGCGTGGCAAGACCAATAGGTTAGAGCGAGGTGATACGTTTGCCGAGACCGGGAAGATCTTCTATATTTGCATTGAAATTGGCAAACAGAGTGAGCGCACGATACGCGATATATACCTGGCGTAAATGCGCGGTATACGCGCGTATATAGTATGCGCGTTATGGGTCCGATAAACAACCAGATCGACTTTAAACCGAACGATTACGTCGTATCCGTATGTATGTAGCTTCGCTTCTGCGCTATATAATTCGGCGAGGAGAGAGAGAGAGAGAGGAAGAAGATACAAAGATACGACGTGATGGATCGCCAGTTTATTCGTTCCAAAGTAGAGAGATGTCCACGTCGGATTCTTTTCCGCGGGAGAATATTACATGTCACAGTTTTTCTCTTCGACATCTGTAGACGCGTCATTAGATCAATTTGGTGGCATCCTTCTATAATCTTATAAAATCCAACGCGATGTATACCGTAATGATATTTTGATCAGGATATTGTTACCCTGTGCGAGGCATTATCCGATTATTTGGAACTTGGATGCAGTATGTCGTAATCTTATCTTCACGGGTTTCGAGTTCCAGCCAGTTAGCTTCATTAGCTTCCGATATCTGTCATCGTGGTTCTCGAATTACATTTTGTGCATCACGAGTCTTTTTTTGAGGTGCTTTTGCATGCAACTTGAAGGTCTTTATTATTTTTTGACGTATTGTATCCGCGATGTAATTATCGAGCCCACTCTTCTCAGTGACATTTAATCAATTATCAGTATACGTGGTATAAATATTCTGACAGATTTAATTGCGGAGAAAGAGACATATAGACACTTGAACTTTCGAATAAGTAAACTGAATTTGCACCTTGTAATGCAGATGGTCTCCAAACTGTGTTGCCAGAGTTTAACGACTCTCCGTAAATTGCTATTTGAATTTCGAATGCGAGGATAGGAACCAACTTCAATTACTTTTGCTCATATATTGTATTTATATTTTTTTAATATGTTATTGTTAAATTAATTATAATTGCATATTAAACGTTCACGAAATTTTATGTCATATTTATCTTTTATTTCATTGAATTTAACATTATAAAATACGTTTTATATAATGAGAATTTATGAAATGTTTCAAATTTGAGAGAATTTAATAGTAGTCAGAAAGCAGTATGTTTTATTTATTATCATCCATTGTCGGTGTATTAGTATAATTTAAAATGCTTTACAGAGAGGTTGCGTATACGCTAGAATTTCTGGCAATCGAGTCCGCAGCTGTTGCATTATGCGGTCGTCCGTCAAAGCAGTTTGCACATTTTCCCAGTGCATTTTAGCGCGCGGAAGTGGTCCTTCTTCACTCGACGATAATGGTTACATTGATAAAATGGCAAAAGTTTTCGCTCGTGTATTTCTGTCGTGTACGCGATGCGAATCAGTGCGCGCCCCATTATTCTTGCGATAAAATTTCTCAATTTTAAAAGACGCTGCAATAATTGTAATAAATTTGCATGAAATATTCAAGAATTCGCATACAGAATATCTAACGTAGTTACTACGAATCTAAACGCAATTCAATTCGTTTCTAAATTGAAACGGTATAAGTGACGGAACTTTGGCAACCAATTTCCGTCGTGTCGCGTGCGATGCCGGTAACGGTACTGACGTGAAAAAAAAAAGAAAAAGAAAAAAGTTGCACGAATGTACTTCGCAAACTTCGCTGAAATGGACGAACAGATTTAAAAATATGAAATTTCCAATGCAAAGTATGGAGAAATGCCATCGGGTATTATTCGACTCTGATCGACTGATCGAATTATAGAATCGTTTTGTAATCTACGTATTGTCGTCAACATTGTTCTTTTTTTTTATTTAAAAAAAGTGATCGTTTTAATTCTTTTAAACTTATATATGTTGTTACTGAAAATTAAAAACTGGCAAACGGAACAATATATTACGAGGACGAAATAAAACGATATTTTTTTACCAAATGTAATTGCAAAGCTTTTTCGAAAATCTACAGTTTCGGTCTGCCAGTGCTAATAAAAATATCAACATCAAAACTGCTCGTCGATCGCCTGGCATCACGCACTTTTCCCATGAACCGAGTTGTCCAAAGCTATAACTTTATCGAAATTCCCAAAAACCGTAACACATTCGCGAGAATAAAAAAAAAACAAAAATTTGGCAAATTTCACTGAGGTCTGACGTTCCATGTTTCATGCAAAAATCGATTGACACCAAAAAGCATTCGATGTCATAGCGTAAAAGTTACATCTGTTTCGATTCATCGCCGATAACATCGATCATATTTCTCACGAAAACTCTCGTTGCAAACTTATTATACTTTTACAATATGCAGTTGTAATTCCGTTTTACTCAACAAAATTTTCACACTTTTTTATTATTTACTGACAAATGAAATTTGTTGCTTTCAATAAATTTCGTAATAAACATGTCTTTTTTTGATCTCACTCAGAATATTACTCAGAGATCTAGTAGAATGAGCTTCGTATCATTACTGATAGTGTAAAAGGATAATCATTAATATCAACATCTATATACAAAATCACTTTAATGTTATATCATCTTAAAATATTATGTTTCTATTTTATATAATTATATATACATATATGTATATAAAATTACTTTTAATGCCCGTGTAATTATATTCGTATATATAAAATTACGTTTATATAATTATAATTACTTGTTCTAATTGCAGTTGCGAGCGTGGATGGCCCGAGCTTCAATATTACAAAAGTAAACCGGTTGCATATGGGTTCCTATTTATGCATCGCATCCAATGGCGTGCCACCTTCCGTCAGTAAAAGAATAATGCTCACTGTCCATTGTACGTATATTCTCCACCACGTACATTTTATCTCTATTAAATTTAATCTCAGCTTAAATTACATTACGCAGCATTGCTTTTTATTGCTTTTGCAAATTATTATCATAAAATATAAATAGAGTAACTAGAGTAAGAATAGTTGACGTGTTTATATAAAATATTATATGTCAAAAATTTATTTAATTATCGGAATGTAAGCAGAGGAATATGAAACAAATAGAAGAAGAATATTTTATATTTACACATACAGAGAGAGATATAATCAAAATTAATTATTAAAAGTAATTAACTAAATAATGTAAATAGTCACCAAGAATTTTAAATTTGATGTCATTTTATATTTAATTGTTTCAGTCTCGCCGATGATTTGGGTTCAAAATCAATTAGTAGGTGCACGCGAGGGTCAGAAGCTGACTCTCGAATGTTACTCGGAAGCATTTCCGAAATCTATAAATTATTGGACCAGAGAGCAAGACAAGATTGTGCCGCAGGGTGAGTATCGATAAGATAAGATATATATATATATATATATATATATATATATGACAATAATTTGACTTGGACGCAAATCAGAGACTCGGTATAAAATTTGTTAGCGACAAATGAACGGAAAAACTCGTACAATGTATTTTATCGCGCGATATGTTACAATTGCATAATAAGAGTTCGCGGTTGGGTTCACAAGACGGGGGTCCCTCATGAAAGAATCATGACTATGACGGAAAGTGGGATGACTTTACAATTTTGTAATATGCATCGTTCCCGGCACGCACCTATCGCGCTTTTTGATGATTCATGTAACTCGACGAGAGAAAGATAATTACACCCCCGGCGCGTATTCTTCTCTCTACATAGTGTGTATTTGCGAGGAAGGAAAATAACTGGTTGTTAACGAACCCTTTGAATAATGAAAGTTCCATACCGAACGCATAAACACGCACACCGACGAAGCGCGAATATAAGCGTTTCGCTCTGCTTTATGCGCCGCCTATAAAAGACGGCTTTAGTACTTTGCATCGATTCGCCATCCCTTTTCGGATTCATATCTTTTTTTTTTTCTCTCCCGTATCGCGATGCGCGCACACACAACACGTACACAAATGCACTCGCGTGCCTCCTACGTCGAGTACATTTAATCACCGAAGGAAGCTGCGCACTCGTTTACAACCGAGAATTAAGCTTATTATGGGAAAAAAACGAAAAAAAAAAAAAAAACAGCATCCAACGATCAAAAGTTACGATATGCAACGATGAATTATTATGATTGTATAATTGTTTTAATTATATATACTCTGGGTAACGCGCGTCATTGTAACAAGGAAGCATGCTTACGGCTTTGGAATCTCATTGAAACACAGCTGACAGAAATCTTCGGACGAGATTACACGTTAACACGATCGGGGGTCAAAACTCGCATTGTGCGCAACATTATTGCGTTCGATACAGATGCAAATGCTAACCACAACGGTGCGATGTAATAACGGTCGACGCAGAAAAGGACGATCCCGGTCGTGTTTGGCGTTCATATACATACTCGTCGCGCGTCCTTAGCCTTCCTCATAAATGCCAGATAAAATCGTGTTATACCTTTAACGTGCTACCGGGATTCGCATGCATTATTCAGAGGCTAATTCCGGTCAAATAAACGGCCCGAAAGAAGAGAGCCGCGCGAGATGTTCGCGCCGTCGCGCCGTACACTCTCTGTGTTGCTATACTGCTTAAATAAATAAATCTAACGGTATTAAAAACTAGATTGCCTCTTGTAATCGCCATATTACCTCCTCCTGCATTTATTTCCAAGATATACAAGGCCGGGGACCGCGTGTAAATTAAAAGCAACGCCGCAACGTTTCCAGTAGAAACTCATTTAGGGAATTAACTTCCAGATTGGATTCATGGATAAAATGGCATTAAAGGATTTTATTTATAAAGGAATTTAAAGACGTCTTTCTTTTTGCGCGCGAACCCCGAACGTACGCTAATCGATAGTAATGGGATTAATAGCAGTAAAGCGGAACGGGACAAAAGTTTTAATTATATAAAGGCCATCGCGTAGAAAAATCACCTCGTCCGCGAAGATTCTTTCCAATGACGTAGAAATTCTCAGTCAACGAGATTTATTGTTAGTTGGATATTCGATCTATGTACAGTCGCGACAGCAGCGATATGCATACAAACGATCGGAGGATTCTCCAAGAATTGTGCAGAGTAATATAAAAAACCTTCGTGTGCACGCGGAAAGTCACTGTCAATTCACTTTTGAGGAAATCGAATAGGCAATGGCACGGCCCTTGTTTGTCTTTTTTTTATGGTTATATATTCGTTACATTGTAGTGCACTTTGGGATGAACGCTGGCGCCAGCCCCGAAGCGGTGAAAACGTTGCATTCGAATTGCACGCTCGCGCACATCCTGTGTTTCTTTCATTTCTTCGGCCAATTTCCATTTGCGTCTAATTGAAAGCATTCAAATAAACAGAACCGGCGGAACGGACGTGATTGTAAAATTTTCATCCCGCGCTCGCTTTTGACCGCCTGATGTCAATCCGCGAGATTGCCCGTCCCCGCACACATTTCTCTTCTGCTTGTTTGCCTTTTTTTGGGGTTTGTTTTTTGTTTGCGTCCGACTATTGACTGAACGTGATCAAAGCTAATACGGGCTGACGTTTGTTTTCGTCATTTCGGATTGCGTTAAGTTCTTTCGCGATGAGATTATATCGCCGACGAGAAACGAGAGCGTCGCGGCGTATCGCAAACAACACGGTAATATATTCGCCCCCTAACGATTACAATGGGTGCAATGAGAAATAACGCGAGCGGCAGGGCAGCCACGGGGATGCATGTACGAATGGCGTGACTGGAAAAATGATTGGAAGCGATTTCACGCGTTCTAACAAGACGTATCGTGATCGATGCCGTGGCAGATAGCGTCGAACTCGTCGTTTAGATCGGAAATAGTTCTTGGTGGCGACGTCGAATCTAGAAATTCCGTGGAGTATTCTGGAGAGAGAAACGTTACGAGATATTGGTCAATCAAGTAGAAAAGCGAATCATCTGGCTTTATATATATATATCATCCTTTCGGCGAATTATACGTTTGCGTAAAAATCGATTTTGTATCAAATGGAATGCAAAGTCGAGATCGATTTTTTTACTTTATTTGTTCAATGTTAATTTAAAAATAGGAAGAGAAAAGGGAAGGAAAGAGAGAGAGAGAGAGAGAGAGGTGCAGCTTTTTATTAAATAGTTCATCATTTATGTTGCCGTTTATACACATCAAAGCGATTTCAATAACCTGTATTTTCTGACGACTCACTCTGCATAATTCAAGTTTTGCCCTATACAAATCGGATCGCCTTCAAATCGCCTCTGATGGCGAGTACAATAGAAACGGAATTTCTCCTCCGGAAACAAACGCCCAAACTGACAGCCATCGCCAAATTCTAGGCGAACAATTTTTACAAAAGCATTTTCACAAGAGCAAAGTTGTTATCTCAATAATCCTTTCTTTTCAGTTTGACAAACGGTATGAAAGAACGTTTTATCACATCTTTTTAAATTAGCATATATAAAAAATTTTCTGTATGACAATTTGCTAGTTTTTATACAAAGGTTGAAAACTGAGTTGAATGGAGCAGTGTCGAAAATATATTATTATATTTCTTCCTATATTTAATATTTATCTATGCAAATAATTTATGTAAATTCTCTCTTAATATAAATTTGTCAATATAATTGGAAAATTTCTTCCGTTTTAAGGAACGTGACTCGAGGAATATTAATCGTATTTCTTAAGAGTGATACTCTCGTAATAGACATCTTCATTTAACTTTACCTTAAAATATCCGCTCTCAAATATATATTTATGTAACAATTTTGTATTGCACGTCTTTCCATTCTGTTCAGAATGACCGAAATCATTCTCGAGCTACAATTTGGACTATCGAGGATCGGGCAATTTCGATTCCTTACGATCCGCCGGTGACGTAGCTTGCATAATCAATCCAAGTATCTAAGATCCCGCGTTTTATCAAAATGAGCCAGCAAATCGCCTCTGGCCGATCGAGGACGTAGTAATAAACGACGGACCATTTCGGGCCGGAAACGGTCGCGCCGAGATCGACAGTCGTCGTACCGAATTCCCATGGCTGTCGACGGTAAAACGTCACAATAGTTCAATCAGGTTGGAAGATGATGGTCCCGCTTGTCGTCTAGTATGTCGGTATTCGACGCGCGACGATCTTAAGTTAACGTGATTTCTGTTTCGATCGGCGCCATTCAACGGCGCTTCCGGTAGTTCTCGGCTTTATATATCGTAAGATTTCAAAACGGTATTATTTCTTTCTTTCCCTCTCTTTCTCTTTCTTCGAGAGATGGTATCTCGCGCGAAAAGCGCCCGGCACGCGGAATGCAAAACGGTACGATAAAAAGGATACAGTCCGTGGACGGAATGCACTTTTTGGATTCACCTCCGAATGGACTCGATATACGGATAACGCGCTTTCTGTGTGTGATCGCGAATGTCGATATTCACCATTTTATGCTTTTATTATCACGCGTTTATCGGAGACTCGACAAGGATCGTAAATTGACGAATTGTATATATATAACGTTACGAGGAGATAATAGAAGAGCCGTATATACTTGTATAAAAATGTTTAATAATGGCTCTGTGTAATGCATCACGAGAGACCTTGATATATAAAAACTTTGAGCGATAATATACAATTTTTTCCATCTGCAGCTTATAATTTAATATGTGATATGCGCCTCACATACAAGTGACAACTGAATAATAATTCTCCATATTCTAGTTATTTTAGTAAAATCAGCACAAATTTTTTTCAACGGTAAAACAATTTGTCTGCAACAGGAAATGTCTTTTTTTTCATTGAATTATTATCCTTTCCGAAAACGTTTGCGTTAATCTCTGTGTTTTTCCTCTTTTCGGAGATAAATGAAAAAAAGCCACGTCTATAAAATCAATCACGGGACGCGCGAGGGAAAAAGTTTCCTGAGACAGGGATAACGTCCAAATAAATCATGCCAATCGTTTATTAAATCGCCCGACTTTTCCAGCGGGAAATAATTAGGAAACAGATCTCTCTGTTAAATTCCGACTCTCTCATCCGACCGTGCCTTTTATTATAGAACTAGACGGGTCGTACCGAGTAGTTTCTATGAGATTTTTCGTATTGTCACCGCGCCGTGGTTGACCCACATACCATGGATGCATGAAGAAGGACTGACGGTCATTTAAAAGTTCTCGATTACCGCCGCATATTCCGATAAAAATACCCGTGATTTGGTCGTACTTCTATTTTCAAACTCCAGCCGAAAAGAGTAAATCACGTCAAGGGAATGACAGGTAACCCCGGGCAAACGTGACTGACAGCACATGACGGAAATTTTTTTTGTTTTTCCTCTTTTTTCTATTCCGGTGTGCGCTCACGTGTCTAGTTGATTTAAACGTGATTTTTCTGAAATTGGGGCAAAGAGCGCGGATATATAATATCCACGTATCACATTTTTTTGGAGATATCGCACTAATTCAATCGATGTAATTCGGCGACCGACCGCTGGCCGCCCAATTCGGGAGAATTTATCTTTCATTTTGACGACAATGGGAAAAAAAAACAAAGCGGCGAGATAAAACAGTGTGCGGCGCATTACTGACGAAATTGCAATTTGTTGCAGGAGGAAAATACGAGCCAGTGCTGAAAGATAACGCGTACAAAATACACATGAAACTGACGATAAACTCCGTCAGTCCGGCGGATTACGGCTCGTACAAATGTGTCTCTAGAAATTCGCTGGGCGACACTGACGGCAGCATTAAAGTCTATCGTAAGTGTAATTATAGCATTACTCGTCTCAAATTTTCGTTATTTTTCTATGCTGCAGAGAGAGAGATTCCCGCGAACTTGCCTGAATTCCTTGAATTTCATAATAAACGCTTCAGCGAAACTAAATTATAATATGTATATAAAATTACATTGTATTTTCTATGTATATACTATATAATATTTGAGACATTCTGGCGTATCGGATTCGACAAAATAGCAATAAAATAGCTCGCTCGCGTGGCTCGTGCAGCCGGCTGCAGCTTATTAAGCAGCAGCTGTGTTAAAATAGTTAGAATTTTTACGAAATACCGAATGAAATCCAAGGCGCGAGGCAGGTCAGACCTTATTATTCTTAAAAGTGCTCGCGCGCTTATGAATAAAACAATATTTCGCCAAATATATTCCCGTGACTACGCGGAATACGCCTCTCCGATTCGGAATCACAGCTCTAACCGGGAAAGTTCTTGTATACACTCAACCGACGCGTTACACCTAGCCCGGACTCGTACCCCGGGTTAGTACCTATCCAATACGTGAATCGGTTCTCTGAAAACAACCAAGTGCCAAATGTGCGCACGTATATATGCGCGCGCGCATCGAAATTGTTTGCGCTTGTAAAGTGAAAGATAACAAGGAGTTAGAACCTCTGCGAGTTAGAAGCATGCATAAACAAAGTTGCGAGCTAAAGTGTGACTCGAAAAGAAACTATATATCGCGTTGTACACTCTCTGCTCGTACTCGTTATTTCTCACCTACGACTGCTGCCGGGCCGCGAATCGCTCTTCAGAGCGCAGCCCCTCGACTGGAGACATTCTTCAGTCTGCGCGCCTTAGATGCCTGACGTCATCACTTTGATGTAGTATCGTTTGAATAATATTGAACGCCGTTATTTATATTTCAGCAATAACCAACTCCACTTCCAACGACGGCAACGCCAAGCACAAAGGTGAGTATTTTCTACTTAACCAGTAAGGTCCAAAGTGTAATTTTCCTTTCTTATGCAAAAAATTTATATGACAAAGCGAGCGCTCTTGTATACATTTTTTTTCAAATATATATAGTGACGCCGAAAAAACGCAAACGAAATTACACGTAGTTCTTTTCTCTTTTTAAGGAAATCTTTTTTTTCGATTCTACAGAAATCATCATCCGTAGACTTAATTTTAAAATTGGCTTTGGTAAATTTCAATTAAAATTGCGAATGAAGCTACTTCGCGGAAATAGGTAAGCCATTGATTAATTAACTGCTTCATTCCAACCTCGTTGTTCGAAATATAAATCGATCACCCGGCCCTTATTGCTCGCTTTGTGTTGAGAGGTACTTTTTGAATGATGAAGCGTAGCGTACTTCTACAGCGGACACAAACGCGGATCGCTGATTAATTAGATCGAGTAGTTAGTTTGCGCGATCGAATCCGCGAACGCACTCCGAGCCCAACCAAATTGCGCGTTTTAGCATTGTGTAGTTATGTCAGACAATGTATTCGTGTATCTCGGTATTATCTTTTAACTTCAAGTTCTAATGGAGAGAAATTCTCTGGTATAAATAGAAAGTAAACAAGCAACGAGCATTCTTTTGCCATAATTTTCCGACCGCATTAATTTTAAAAATGCATTTCACGATATACATATACATATATCTCCTTTGTAAGAGTATACACTATACTGCTATAAGATATTATGCTATAGATTATATTATTAAAAAAGAAAAAATGCAGCAGCGTAAAAATTGCTTATATTCTCATCTCCTAGAATGTTATCAAATATCGCCGGATCATAATTTCTATTAACAATGAAAAAGGGAAAAGCGATATAATCCATCGTGGAAGGCAACAAAGGCGTCCACGCGAATTCATGTCATCCGCGCTTGTTAAAGGCACAGTTCAAGTTTTCCATCCGACCAGGTTCGAGCTTCTCCGTCGTCGGGCGTGTGCGGGGTCTCTCTAGGAGATAGTCGGCACTATTTCAGCGTGAAATCGCGGATGAATAGGAGCCGTCGTCGTGTCGGGTTTACGCGGACCGACCGCTCGTTTTCACGACAGGCCGCCATCGCGTACAAAAGTCTGATGTTGCACGAGGCTTGATGCGAGAGGCTCGGCGCAGAATGCAGTCGCGAGATAGCAGAGATAGACGTTTAGAGAAACGACTTTTTAAAGAGACCCCGGGATGAGTATCATTTCGGCTCTTGCACCTGCTTGCGCGGCCTGCTTGCGCCGCCAATCTGTCTTTCATCGCGCAGAGAAAAGGCCAGAGCCGGGAAGTTTATTCGAAGGGACTCTCTCTTCTTCTATCTACTACGCGTTAACGTCTTGCACGCGTAACACACTTTTCCTTAAATAACTTGGCGCTTATCTTTTAGAAAGATACTTGGAACTTCTTCCGAGAGAAGGACGTTCGATATACATACTCCGCAAAATAATTAAGGGATCAAACAAATGGTCCTACAAATAGGCAAATTTTAAATAGCTGTAACTTTGTTTCGAAAACTGATAATTTTAATTTTAAAAAAGGGTTTTAAAGCTTGAAATCTCTGCTTTCGAAAGATCATAGCTTTTTTCATTTTCTTCGATTCTGATATTTTTTACATACAGAAAACGACGAACATAACGAAATGGAAAATTTTTTCTCACTTCGTAGACATGTCGTGTACACAAGAAGATTTGAAAAGATTTTTTAACTTTTTCATGTTAAAGCCTGAAGTTTTCCCTGCAAAATCATTTTTTAAAATGTAAATTTCGATCTTTCCTTATCAAGTTATCGTAAAATGAAGAGAAAATGTCATTTTCACTTTAATCGTTCATAACTCCGTTAAAAATCATCGTATGACAATTTTAAGAATGGATTCTTAAAGCTGAATCTTTGCTCTATAGTATGATATAGTGACTAATTTTTTTTTAACTCGTGAATTTTTTATATATAGATGAAAATAACGAAGAAATTCGCGAGTTTTCTTCCTTTTGTTTAAACTTTGAAAAAAAGTTAATTAAAGTAACTAAAAAAATTTTATTGACTGAAATTTTTGTGCCTTCTAGTATCCCAAACTTGGCAAAAAATCATAGACTTACTGTGATAATTTGTTTATAATAATCCGTATGTTTAAAATAATCGATGTGTACAATATGAAATAACAATATGAAAATACAATATAAAAATTTGATACATGCAATTAATTTTAAAGCGATATAAATAAAGTAAACACGCTCACATTTGAAAGTCGATGGTATATTTAATTTCTCCATTTTTATTTTTTTCCATGTTATTAAATTTACCTTTAGCATGCGAATTGCGGGGGTGAAAGGGAGAAAGGGGAGACAAAATGCGTGGCGAACGAACATTTAAAGTACCAATTCACGAAAGACTCTCTTCTCTTGGCGCGGTATTTCGAATACGTTGATATATTCAAAGAGATAATAATATAGCAAGAGCTTTGTGCTACAATACATCGGCCTTTCAAAGGAGATGGTAAATTACATGTCAGTGCGCCGCATTGTGCTTCACTGTATATCGTTGCTCTCTGCCCGAGTATTAACTAAGCGCACGAAAAGTATTTTGTTATCACTATGTATTATTTTTTTCTTTATTTGCTACAAAAATTTATTTATCTCAAAACATTGAAATAATAAACAGATCTGATATTTTTACAAATTATTTTCGATGGCGTATTTTATGTATATATTTGAAAAAAATTGTCAATATTTGTGTGCTTCATATATAAAATATGATATATTTATTTTTATATAATAATCTGCATGTATAATAGTCCGGCATTATTAATCGCAATGATTTCAATTTGCTGAAAACTCGAGCGTCCAAACTTTTTAATAAGAAAGAGTAAATAACTCGCGATGAGAGATAATAGCAGAGTATGTGAATTTTATTGTGTCATATATATATTCGGGTGTCTCGCCCTTATATATAATATATATGAGAGTGAACGGCGCTTCTTGACCATACGTGTGTGCTGTTATAACGTAATATAACTACTATTAGGATGAAAAACTCCGATATAAAATCCGGGCTTTGAAGCATGTGCTTTAAGGCACTCCCGACAGCCGTGATATAGCTTCAAGACGCTCAGAGTCTTCTCTCTCGCTGCTTTAATGATTCATTTCGCAACGGGAAAACTTTAAACATTCTCTCGCGCCGTCTTCGTTTTATGGCTAATCGATGTTTTTACGGCTCTCGGCCGCGAATACGAGTCTCATCGCGAGTCTTTATGCAGTCGCCATACTGGAAAGCGCAAGATAGCTGGATATAAAGGCAATACGAGCGAGAATTGAAATTTTTGATTGCACAGTTAACCGTTTCTCTCGGACGTGTAAATAAATCGACTCGTTTTAACGTCATCTTTTTTCTTTTTTTGCGCCGAAATTTTTTGGCAAGAGTGTACGATATCGTATAATATAACTGTGCATACATACGGAATTACCATAATTAGCGGCGAGAAGACCGCGTTGCCAGCGGCAATAAATAATCGGCGCACGAAGGCGATGTCAACGGGAGCCGCTCGTAAAAAGCACAGCTTACTCCCATATTTCACCAAGTATCTTCCGCACCATCATAATGAAAAATCCGGGATTTATTATTGACCCGTCTTCGATCCAACTTCCCGTTCGCCCGACACCCGGAAATCGATATATGCAAAATATTTTGATGCCAACAGATTGGGAGGCGACGTTGCATCGCGCGATGGAAGATTTATAGAGACCGGGTCTCGGTGTGTTCCGGGTCAATTTTATATCGAACTCTTTCCACCTCGCCACATACGCTTCTAGGGTTAAATATACACGTCTATATAGGTGTACACGGGTCTCTCTCTCTCTCTCTCTCAAAGTTAAATGCGCGAAAAAATATATCGATATGATACGCTTCGGAAATGGAAAATAAATTGTTTCCCTGTATCTGTCGCGAGGCTCGAAGTGTATAAATTTGACCGCGCATATTCGATTATTAATTCTTGATGGGATTATTCTAACTACAGCATGTATTTTGTTGTTGGACTGATTAATCTGGCAAAAATCCTGGAAACGGGTCAATTTTTCGCCGCGTGCGAGAGCAAGCGATGCGGCGCGTTTCTGAAACTTCCGGCGGAAACTTAACAACGTGAGGGCAAACACATTGGTCATATCTTAAGCCCTGCCACAATCTGCCACGGACTGGCCTTATCGAGTACGAACGGCCACGTTCTCATTCGTTCTTCTCATTACTTGAGAAAACACACGGTCGAAGCTGCATTTTTCACGGAGACAAACGAACTCGCCTTTCATCGTTGAATCGTTTTTCCAATAGTGATTCCCTACTTTATCCGTTTCAACACTCTTTTTTTATCGCCATTTAATATTAAATGTTTTCTTTTTGCGTAGAAATTTATTATATATTTGTCACGAAGAAAAATAAACTGACGTTCAGTTTTTTTAATATAGCGTTTTTCCTGCTGCTTAAATTTTTTAAAAAGGCGTATAAAGAATCTATAATTATCTTTATCAAGATTTTATCACGAAGAAATTGATTTGCATAAAAATATATATCCCGAGAAAATAAATCGTTATACCAGATGTATATAAGTGAGCTCAATTCGAATTTATTAGATCGGATGTATTTATTCTGCGACATAAACTTATCTCGTAAATCGCTTTCTCTCTTCGTGCCGGCTGTCATCGCTATTTCTCTTGCAATTGATTTAACAACCGTCGTCATTAGTAGTCCCGTGACGTACCACCCGAAACCGAATACCACATCGCGAAACAAATTGCTTTAAAGACATTCAACGGGCACCAATTAATCAAAGAAGACAGAATGAGAAAACAACTGAAATAATAGGACTCAATTGAATAATGTTTTATCCGTAAATTTGTGAGAAGGTCTGGCACATTTATTTGTGCTCATGTTTACGTAACAAATTAATAATAAGTTATTAAATAAATATTCGTAATTGGTATATTTAACGGTTGTTGATTACCAGGGTATAATATAACATTGTTACAAAATTGACCGTACTGGATAAAAGATCCAAAAGGGAGGAAGGAGAAGAGATAGATGAAATATTTATAATTATTGCTTATGAATAAAAGTATCCGTCAATATTTACTCAGGCAATATTGACAATATCAAAATATAAACTTTGCCTCGAGGAACGATATCGTTCAATATCTCGCTCTGTTTGCAGGTAAACCAAGGCATAATTCAGGGAACGATATCCTAGGGGGAAATCAAGATATGCTAAAAGATCCAGGTACATCAAAATTTAATAAAGATGATTGCACATTAAATATTCTTTTTTAATTTTTCTTTCAGTATAACACAAATATTCTATCGAGCTAATAAACTCGATATAAAAGATACTTCGGTTCTTTATTATCGAGCTAAAAAAACATTCGTGTTTTCAGCCACAAAATTACAATTTTTTAATTTCTCTTATGACATAATATAATTTATATTATAAATACTGTCTATATGTCTGTTTGACCGCGAACTACTCCTTCATTTACGAATCGATTTTTGTGACATTATTACCAAAATTTTTCCAATTTTTCGAGATAAAAGCATTTAGCTTGATATCTCAAAATTTACGAAAATTAAAACAATGTATATTTTAAAAAAATTAATTTATAAAAATCGAAACTCAATATCAAACATCCTTAAAAATTCATCCAGTTAAAAAACCATTCGTATTTCAGCCACAAAATTACAATTTTTTAATTTCTCTTTTATACACGATACAACATTAATGATACGTATCCTTGAATTCTGGCGTCGTAGATCTGAAACTACGGGGTCGAAAGGAAAACGGCGGTGACGTAACGGATTACGACGAATCCAGCGCCAACAGCAACAGGAGCTCGTTGCTCTTGGTGATCCTCGTCGCTTTGTGCCTCTGCCTCCATCATCATCCGCAGATGCGTACGTTGCATCCGGCCTGAGATCTGCCCGCGGCGCTGCACGTCATCACACGCGTACTTCGATCATCGAATCATGTGACTTTGTACATCCACTTGTAAATTCATCGCTCAGGGACTTCAGTCGAGGATGAATGTCGTCGAGGACTGCGTTTGACCACACTTACACTTTAAAACTTAAATAAGATAATAATACTATAAGTAGCATTAGCGGCGGCTCCGCGATTATCGTATAGTCGCGGAGCTCGCTAAGGGAGGATTACGACTTAAGGGACGGTCATGCGGATTTACGATTTTCGGGTTCGGAGTTAAGGTGTGCAAATCTACCCCGAATGCGGCCCGAATGATATGTTACAACGTTGGGGAACGCCTACTCTTTACTTATCTTAGGGTTGCGGCGTTTGCGACGCTGTAGAAGTAACTGAAATATCCCCATAAACAAACATTGTAACAAGCGTAATAAGGAATCGGCTAATTTTCGAAAAGAATATGCAAGTTCAATATTTTGGTTACTCTCTATATAATTTTTGTTTAAAACAAGCTTATATATTTTGCTCATTATCAATAATTTTATTTCTTTGTGTGTATTATGAAGCTAACATTCTAATAAATATATTATATATATATATATATATATATATATATATATATAACTGTGAAATAACTCTTTGAATACATCTAATAACTCCTCTATGAAATAATCAATAATGTATAAAAAGTACTTCTTATCGAACGAAGAAACGCTGCAGAATCAGGTAATTTATTTGTAATGATCAATTTTGACAACGAGCAATAAGCGAAAGATCTTATATTGAAAAGAAATAAATTTCTATAAAGATACAGGCCAACAAAAGATGGTCATTATGTCAGTTGTGTTATTTTTAATTGGCTATTCGGACAGTAGTGTATCCCAACGTCGGACGTTTATTACGAACCGATGACCGAACGATGCGACAATGCGGCTACATCAAATTAAATTTAAATTAAATTAAATTTTAATTAAAAAAATATATATATTAAAAGTTTGTATTTTATCTTTTCACGACAAAGAGCATGAATACTTTTTTATTAAGATGGCAAAGTTTCTACTTATATACTATGTTACTTTTCCTTTCTCTTTCTTTCTCTTTTCTTTTTTTCTCCATGTAGTTTCAAGCAATGTTTTATTTTGTTAAATGAAACTGCATATAATTTTTTTTCTTTAGCAACGTGAAAGTAGGTTACACGATTTATCTCATTTTATTCAATATAGATATCTACCTTCTCTAATAAGTTATTAAAGTCGCATCGATGCTGCAATCGTTTTACATGACTCTCCGTAACTCCTGAATTATTATTTAAGACGATTATTATGTGCATAAAATATGTAGCATTAATTTCATAGAATATATATAAAAGAGGAGGGAGTGGGGATATTATTAATCGCCATCGCTTGAAGACTCGCACCAAAAGAGAATCCTCGACGGACATCCTGGATTGTTCATTAGAATTTGTATCGGAAGAAACGTTCGCGTTAGCTAAAATCTATTCTACAATAACTCTCTGTATAATATTATATATAGTATCGGTATAATTACTATGTATAATGTACTATATATGTATCGACATAGTATATATAACAATGCCATATCGGCATTGCTCGGATTTTTCAACGAAACTATTGAATTAATAATTTCTCCCATTTTTGCATAAAATCTTGTTTAAGTAGCTCTTAAGCAGGATTACCAATTTTAATCATTTTATTTAAATTTTTATTCTAAGATTTAAAGCAGAGAGTTGTATTTCAATGCATATTTTACGAATTAAAGAGTATATAATAAAATATATAATTAATGTCTTTTAATAATCTTATTTTTCAAAAATAAATCAGAGACTATATCATAATCTGTATATAATATGTATAATAAGTACAATTATATATGTATACATTATATATAATAATATTAAGTCAAGACTGAGGAGGTTTTCAGCCTTCTTAAATCATTTCCATGTGCAGTGATCGATGTACTGCGTGTGAATAGATCTCGCTTTATATTCCACACGTACTGTATATATTAGAAAGTATATAGGCTGGAAGCCACTTGTATTATCACTGTCATAGCGATCTACAGAGTATTCAGCGAAATATAATTTTTTCTTGTAAAATAGAGCGAATTAAATTTCTCGATGATTACATAATGTTTGACAAACTCACGAAACAACTCTAGATAATTTAATGTGCGCGTTCGAGGATTGAATGATTTATTATAAGAGATAGATCGTATCGATTTCTTTTATTAATGTCACAACCAGCAATTAACTGCAATTTCCGTAACATTAATTATTAATGTTACGTGACGCATCAATGTTTGCGTCATAATCGACGCAAATATTCTCAGAACTTTACTTAAGCTATATCAGAGCTTTGGGTAACACATTCTGTAAACTGGGACACTCTGTACAGTTTGAATCATAGTACAATATCACGATGCCGGGCTTACACATGGCGTTTTGTGTTTTCGTTCGCTGATGTATGCATACGTATGCAAGTAGAGAGCTTATTATTGAATATCAGGTATGAAGGAGGTTGAGTCTTGAAATAGGTTAAAGCTGACTGTAATAAGAAAAGAGATTGCGTGTTATTTGAAAGAGTAATCAAGCGTTGGAAAAATCGAAAGGAGCACTTGAGAGAAATGTTAAACAATCTATATAAGCATATCATGAGAATTGTAGCTTATCATGAAAGTAAAGAGATTTATCAATTTTCCGCGTAAAAATAACTAAATTAGCAGTTTTTATATTTGATGATTCTACAGTACGAAAATAGATTTATTTATCTATATCGATTTTTTATTATTATATCGTTTTGAAAACTAAATCTCTTGCAATTAATTTGTATATATATAGAATGGCCCTGCAAATTTAAACTGTTTAAGCTGAATATATCAAAATAGTGTGAAGATAATTAATATTTTATTTACTTGTAACATTTATGAAAAATAATTTAAAAAACATTTGAAAGATAATTATATATAAGAAAACATTAATTATATTGACCTAAATGCAAGAATTATTTTATGCAAAATATATTATTTGAAAGTATCAAATAAGTATTTTACAGAAAATGTTATTTTAAAAAGCAAACATATCTATCTTTCAAAATCTAGCAATGTCTAAAAATATCAACGCAGCGACGAAGCTAATAATACAATATGACCTATTCCGATTAAATTAAATTTAATCTATAATCTATAATGGTTTTCAATTCGATTTAATATAGTTTAATCATTAATATTTAACTGCGCATATACGAAGTAAAAATAATATTCAATGCCTCGATTGGCTCGTTATATGTCTATTATTGTATATATCGAGTGGTATTCTTCATCGAGATTTCACGCTGCATCTATATGATGTTTATGTTCATGTATTATTTACAATTAATTTAGTGACTGCGGCAATTGAACAATGTATCGAAAATAATTCAGAGCAACCTACTTTTATATCATCGACATTGTAGATAACCATACATAAATACATCATTCATAATAAATACACCATTACAACGCGTATAATAAATCGTGAAGAGTAAGTGCGACATTTGTAATAAAGACGAGTAATACGAATCGTGTAGCTAATAAAAAAAAGTATATGATGTACCACGTGCGACTATTACAATTATACATATAAAAAAATATTAAAATGTCATAGTGTATATACAGGTAGAAAAATGCATTATATCTCTGCTGATTTGTGGCGTAACTGTATATGTCCCTGCATAAGTAATAAGTACGGAAATTTTTTTTCAAAAAAAGCGTTTAATAACTGTAACATTTTGCTACATCGAGGATAAATTTTCATCGCGACAAATGTAAAATGCTAATATAAACACACTTTTTATTCTCAAGCTCATCTCAGGCGATCTATAATTTGTGGTAGAATTCTATTTATAATTTCATATATCTTATAATACGAGAAACATTGAAAGACTATCAGACTACACAGTTGAAGAATATACATATCAGAGTATACACATACACACACTTATGTATAAATATATTAAAAATACGATATGTGAAACTTTAAATAGAATTCTATTCTAAATTCTTTGTCGTGAATGGTAAACCATCTAAAGCGGATTTTAAAATAAAAATTTAAAAACAACTTTAATAAATTATGAATGTCTCTGCGATAACGCTAGAGTATAGATCGATAAAATAATTGTTAATCAATAAATAAGCGTAGATTAACAGTAACATTCAATTGCATAGCTCTATCGCAATTATGCTGCGATATTGAAGCCGATCTGGTTGCGCCACTGCCCGTGCTTTTTGCACGCGATCTAGTCCTGTAAGCACTATCGGCATCAGGAAAATGTCCGTGTATACATGAAATACAAATTTATTACTTACTTTTTATTGTACATATTTTAGTTCCCAAAATGAACTTTACTAATTTGCTGCATCTTCAATTTTTGCGTGTGATATATTTTTGTGCTTATTAATTTTCTATTTCAGTAAGATAGTTTGTAAAGCAAATCTGTCTGCAAGGAAATTGATAGTAAATTATATTGACAATAATATTTTTATTTTAAACTTACTCAATATCTTGTACATATTTTATTATAGTAATTTCTTTTAAAAATATTGAAGCAAGATTTTTTCATCCGGTAATTACTTATCCATCGTGTTTCTTTACTGAAATAATATATTGAACAAAATAAAGTTTATGCACATAATTGGTAAGTGCATCCAGCATTATGAATATTTTAATACATTACATTTAATATAATAAAGTTGGAACATTATTGTGGACATCCTTGGAGCATCACGTTTAGATGTTTACACATTATAATTGCTACTTATTTTTAAAGAAATGTTTTTCGAGAAAACAAAACAGATGAGTTGGTAGTTTAACAATTTCATATTCAAATAAAGTTAATATAATTTTATCAAATTGTATAAATTGAATTTTAAATAAAAAATGTAATTTTAAATTCAAATTGAATTAAATTTGATATTTATATTTATGCATTATGCAAGCATTACGCATAAATCATATTATAAATAACATCGGACTCATTAATAATTTTTGTATGTTATTAATTATTAATTAAGTAATTATTAATTATCTTTATTTTTCAGGCTATGAAAACAAGATTAAAAAAATAATTCGTTTGCTCAAGGGATTCTCAATAAAAAAGTGGAATTAATATGTCAGAACGTATTATTATTTAGAAAATTATCTTCAAGTTGATTTAAATAAATATATGTCATAATAGCGTATATATAACATACTTTTATTCATAATGTAATTCGTTAAAGAAACAGCATATGAGTTAATATAGAAAAATAAAAGGAAAATACGATTGTAGAATAAGAATGTAAAAAGTTTGAATTTTTGTAAAAATAAGGTAAGTTAATAAATATTAAATTTTATTAATTATTAAATTAGATTAATAAATTAATTATTAAATTAGATTAGTAAATTAATTAATAACTTAGATTAAATATAAATTAAATGGTAATTAATGTAACTTTACAATGATCAATAATAAAATCTGTAACTTTTTGTAAAATAAGAATTTAATAAACTACATTAAATACAGAGGGAGG